GTCATAATAGTAAACTCACTATACCAATAACGTTAAGTGTGAAGTTTACCTTACTGTAACACGAGCTACCACCTCCACCGTGTGAAAAAAAAAACACTCATGGTTTTAAAAGATTTCGACGTACCCTTAAGAGTTATGTGTATGTGTGTGTCGTATGTGGCAATATCTTACGACATTCAGGAGTTATGAACAAAAGTAATACCACATAAGCTTTTGTTCTGAGGCAAAGTGAATATTTTTTTTCATATTACTTCATCTCTATTGACTGAGGAAATCTGGGTTGAAAATGGTTGTTGTTGTGGTTGTTGTGGTTGTGGTTATTGTGGTGGTTGTTGTTGTTGTTGTTGTTGTTGTTGAATTTGACTCCTTTAGGGGGTGGCACTAAGATTGGTCCTTGTGAATTACTCTTAGTGTCAGGACTCGAACCCTCGTCCTCAACAACTCTTAAGACAAACGATCGATTCCCTTAAGCCTAAAAGAACGAAACTTTATGAAAAAATCCAACAACCGTATTTTTTTGTTTATTTAGTCAATCAGAAGATAAAGTTTTTAGAGTTAGTGAAAGAAAATAGTGAGAGTGGGGAGTGGAAGTGAGAGTGGGGAGTGGAAGTGAGAGTTTGGGGAGAGAAAGTGAGAGTTTGGGGAGTGGAAGTGAGAGTTTGGGGAGTGAAAGTGAGAGTTTGGGGAGAGAAAGTGAGAGTTTGGGGAGTGACAGTGAGAGTTTGGGGAGTGGAAGTGAGAGTTTGGGGAGAGAAAGTGAGAGTTTGGGGAGAGAAAGTGAGAGTTTCGGGAGAGAAAGTGAGTTATTAATTATACTTTCATCTTTCATTTTTTATTCTTTCTTTTTAATGGATTTTGTCACTTGAAGTCGAACACACAATATATCCACGATAACCCACCGCCGCCCCCCCCCTTCTCTCTCCCCTCCCCCCTCCCCCCTCACCCTCTCTCCTCCCGCTATACTGATCGGAACATGACGAACGCGACAATGAGCATAATAATAATAATAATAAAGAAAGCGATCTTCTCTTGCGCTTAATAGTATGTCATATCTTCTTCAGGCACCATCTGGCATGCATTGTTAGAATTATTATGGAGGAGGTGGTTTTCAGAGATCTTACCACACACACACACATTTCACACACACACACACACACACACACACACACATTGTTTGTTGTTACACACACACATTTCACATTACCACATGCTTTACCTTGGTGCTTTCACTCTTGGGCTTGACGTACACCAATACACGCCACTCTGTGCCACCTTAACACACACTGACATTGCCACCAGCTACTCATACTACGTACACCATTAAAGCTACCCAGCCACTACACATCGTACACCACACGCTACCCAGCCACCCAATAATGCGCGAATTACACGCTACTCATGGCCACCATGCCACCCAGCCGCCTAGCTACATCCCCTTTATATATATTTTTCCTTCTAAATCAGACCAGTGTGTGCCGGATAATGATAGCTGGTACATGGCTCGACCTGACCTTGTGTCGGCTGGATCATGATGGAGAAGAGAATACCGACTTCATGAGGAGCTACTGAAAGTCTTCCTCCTCCTCCTCCTCCTTCCTCCTTCTTCCTCCTCCCTCCTTCCTTTCTTCCTCCCTCCCCAGTCAGATGTGCCTTCATACCATACATTTATGTTTTCCAGGTGTGTGTGTGTGTGTGTGTGTGTGTGTGTTCTTCCCCACCAACCTCCCTGCCCACCCCACCCCCTGCCCACCCTTACCCCTGGCCCACACCATCATTCCCCACCACCCACGTGCTCCACCTCACCCCCCGCCCAACTTTACCCCCCGCCCACCATTACTCCCCCACCACCCACGCCCACCCCACCTCTGCCCCAATCTTTATTCCTCAGCTCAATCTCACCCCCCGCCCACCATTACTCCCCTCACCACCCACGCCCACCCTTACCCCTCCGCCCAAATGCCATATTCTTGTCACTCCTTCTCTCTCAAAAGAAGATAAATATTTGAGTTGTTTTCCTTACTTCTTTTCTTCTTTCGCGTTTTGGGGAAGAAAAATTCTTAGATGTTTTTTAAGTAAGTTTTTTCCAATACCAGAAAAGGAAAGATTTTTTTCTTTACAGGGTTTCAATTTTTTCTTCCTCATATAAATATTTTTTGTTTTATTTTTTCGTATTTTTTCTTGTTTTTCCTTTTATTTTTATAATTATTTTTTTTATTTTTACATTTTATTAGACGACTGATATTTTTTTCTTCTAAATTATCACTATTATTATTATTATTATTATTATTATTATTATTATTATTATTATTATTATTATTATTATTATTATTATTATTATTATTCCTAGCTAGAATTATCCTGAAAAGCAGTATTGCCATATCAAGGTTATCCCTTAACCCTGTAGAGACACAGACATATCGTTTAATTTGAAGTTGGTATTACTGCCGGTGCTGCTGTTGTGTTGTGTGGGATTTGAGTCTTAGCAATAAACCCTACTGGAGCTATTTAATATAATTTACTGGAGCTATTAATTTTGAGATATTGGAGCTACAGAATTTAATATGCTTGCTACAGCTATTAAAGTACTTGAGTAATTAATTTGTGTATATTGGGCTATTAATTTAATTTAATTGGGCTATTTATTTAATATACTGGAGGTAATTTATTTATTGTAACTAATAATTTGATGTACTAGGGCTATTAATATGATGTATTAGTGCTATTAATTTTATATATTTGTGCTACTAATTTGCTGGAGCTATTTATTTAATGTACTGGGGATATTTATTTGGAGTTAGGGAGTGAAGGAGATGTGGGTGGGGTCAGAGACATCAAGATGGGGTCAGGGAGGTCATAGGTGGGGTCAGGGAGGTTAGGGTGTGGTCTGGGAGGTCAGGGTGTGGACAGGGAGGTCAGGATGGGATCTGGGAGGTCAGAGGTGGGGTCAGGAGGTCAGGGTGTGGTCTGGGAGGTCAGGGTGTGGACAGGGAGGTCAGGATGGGATCTGGGAGGTCAGAGGTGGGGGTCAGGAGGTCAGGGTAGGGACAGGGAGGTCAGGGTGAGGGTCAGGAGGTCAGTGTGTGGTCTGGGAGGTCAGGGTGGGGTCAGGGAGGTGAAGATGGGGGTAAGGGAGGCCAAGACTATTTAATTGCTAAAGATTCATAACCAGGATTTATATGATCGATAAATTTATTTTACTTTCTGAGGCTATTTCCCCAAACAGCTATTTTAAACCCCTAGAGCTATTTAATCGAAAGTAATATTAACTCACAAGAGCTATTTATCCTATAAGACAATTTTATAGCAACTGGAGCGACTTATAAAAGGTGACAGAATTATATATATTTTGTTCATATACCAGAGCATGTTAAGATTTACGTTTCAGAGCTGTACTGTACTGTATATCTATGTGTTATATTGGCCTGTATAATATATACTTAAGTGTGTATGTATGTATGTATGTATATTTCTCTGTGTCCATATTAACCCCCCCTCCCCCTTCCTCCCTCCCCCTTCCTCCCTCCCCTCTCCCCCTTCCTCACCTACAACCTCTCCTCCTCCCCCTCCAAGTCTCTTTCCTCTCTACTCTCTACCTTCTCTCCTCTCTCCCCTGCCTCCTTATCTCTCCCTCTTCTTCTCCTCCCTCCCCACCCCTTTCCCTGCAACAAGAAGCATGTTAATGGTTATGTACACAATACAACCCCCCCATATAAGTGTGTTGTATTAGATGTGGTTTGCATTATTTGTTGTAATTGGACAGCAGATGTGTGTGTGTGTGTGTGTGTGTGTGTGTGTGTTTGTGTGTGTGTGTGTGTGTGTGTGTGTTTCGTGACGTGGTTGTTTGTATGAGCTGACGGTATATATACTTTTGTAAGCTGTCCCAGGTATCATTCCCTGTCCCAATGTGTTTTGTAATAGTTGTCAGAGTGTTTTGTGATGGATGTCAGGTGTTTTGATAGTTTGCCAGGTGTTTTGTGATGGATGTCAGGTGTTTGTGATGGTTGTCAGGTGTTTGTGATGGATGCCAAATGTTTGTGATAGTTGCAGAGTGTTTTGTGATGGTGCCAGGTGTTTTGTGGTGGTTGCCAGTGTTTTCTGATGGTTGCCAGGTGTTTGTGATGGTTGTCAGGTGTTTGTGATGGATGCCAGGTATTTGTGTTGGATGTCAGGTGTTTGTGATGGTTGCCAGGTGTTTGTGATGGATGTCAGGTGTTTGTGATGGATGTCAGGTGTGTGTGATGGTTGTCAGGTGTTTGTGATGGTTGTCGTGTTTGTGATGGATGCCAGGTATTTGTGATGGTTGTCAGGTGTTTGTGATGGTTGTCAGGTGTTTGTGATGGATGCCAAATGTTTGTGATAGTTGCCAGGTGTTTGTGATGGTTGCCAGGTGTTTGTGGTGGTTGCCAGGTGTTTGTGATGGTTGCCAGGTGTTTCTGATGGTTGCCAGGTGTTTGTGATGGTTGCCAGGTGTTTGTGATGGTTGCCAGGTGTTTGTGTTGGTTGTCAGGTGATTGAAATTGTTGTCAGGTGTTTGTGTTTGCTTTCTAGCATTTGTATGTATGTATGTATGTATGTATGTATGTATGCATGTATGATATAAACAGGTGTTGTGACGCCCTGATGGTCCACACATATATGTATATTTTGTTTTCATGTCTATATATATATGTACTTTTAGATACATTGCTATGTGCTTACTGTGTCTTGCTCTACATATGTATACCCCAGGCCTTGTATACCCCAGGCCTTGTATACCCCAGGCCAGACCCCCTGTGGCATTTTTTTCCCATGCTTAGGATATACATTATTGATTTTGTATAGTGTAAATACATATATATACATAGTGTAGAAGTATAAACAAATTATAGAAGTATACGGTTTTTTATGTATATGAATGAAGGTTTTTTTTTAGTTATAATACAGTATTGTGTATTCTTACCGGCCGACCTGTATTAATATATCACCCGGGTTTTTGTTTTGTGTTTTGTGGGGATAAACAAAGGGAAACAG